AATTGCTTGAATTCACCCGCTTACTAATCAAGCTTAAGCAAGGCTTGTGGCTTTAATTAGATAATCCCTCTCTTAGTAACCCGCATCTCAAGCAAATGACTACGTCTTGCTATCTATTTCAAAAAATCGACCCCCCCCCCCCCCCAGTTTTTGTAAATTGCAAAATCAAAGCGATTTTTTAGCCGGTTGAAATTAGCACTTCATTAGACTAAAATTGTATGGGCTATAAAACTGCATACCTAAAAATGTTTTAAAGATTCAAATTAAAAATTTGAAATTTTAATGAAAATTTTTTGAATTTTCTTAAAGTTTGGAAGTGTGATTAATAATTTTTTTAATTAAAGCTTGGACGATATTTTTATCGAAAAATAACAAAAAAATTAGCTGGAAAAAATTACGAATATTACAAAAAAATAAACACGTGGTCATTTATTTGAGTCACTGTATCTCTTCCTACTGCTCCCTGCTGTCCATAGATGTCAAAATATACTTCTTATCGAGCCAGAATTCATTCGTAAATTTCCAGACAACTTTTTATTAGTTAAACCAATATTTACTTGCCTTTGAATGCCATGGCAGCTATAACGGATTCTGAACTATTTTGCCACGATCAAGGCCTAATCGAAATTAAAGCTTGGCGGAAAGTAATACATAGTTAGTTGCATTTCAGTCTGCTAAGCAAACTCCTTAAGCATTTCCTGGAGCCAAAAATCTGAAGAAATGCGTTGGTTGAATTACTTTTGCATCGCTATCCTTTAAATCTTCAGCTTAGAAGGCAAACATTAAGTACGTACAAAAACTCTTAACGATCGGTTTTCTATAATCAAATTTGAGTTAAATTCTGTTACAATTCCCAAAAAAAAGACAAAACATTTTGAATAGGAAAAAAGTAAAACAAGCGGAAAGATGTCTTATCTAACCATTTTGTGCTCAGAACCGATACAGTAATAATGTTTCAGCATCCCAACGAAGTCCTAACTATGTATTTAATGAAAACTAATAACACCTTTGCTTCCCATAACTGATTGTTACTCTTTCAGTCACACGCACACACAGACACTGCATTTAAGTGCAATTCTTTAACAGCCCATTACCCACACTCCAGGTTATAATTAACACTCGACACTAATACTTAATGGCTAAAATCTAAAAAAAAGAAGTATTTATAATTTTACTTTTCAAGACATGCGTGCATACAAATGCACATTGTACATTAGAGTGGGTCAAATTGTCCAGACGAAACTTTTTCCACGAATCGCATAATATTTATACCTTTCATGAGCATGAAATGGTATTATAACTTTGGTCCGATGTTTGTAAGTACCAGAACAAAAAGAGATAGACCCATTAAAATGTATACCTATTTGATCAGAACGTCGAGCTGAGTTGATTTATCCATGTCCGTCTGTCCGTCTGTCCGTCTGTCCGTCTGTCTGTCTGTTTGTATGCAATCTAGTCTCTCAGTTTTCGAGATATCCGGATCAAATTTGGTAAGTGGGTGTATTTTTATAATGTATTAATCATTTGTCGGAACCGGAAGAATCGGACCACTATAACATATAGCTCCCATACAACTGATTGTTCAGATATGAGATTTTTCGTTAT